TTGCCATCTCTTTCTTTGATTTCAGGCTGCAGTATCAACACACAGGAAGATTTCAACCCAAAGATATGGACGATGCTGCCGAAACTTTCGTATGTGAACCTTGATCGCTCTCTTCCTTTTTGTGTTTTACATTTACATATTCACAATCACAGATTACAGTCAAATTCTGCACTATCTTCAAGATGTGCGAGCGCAGCATATAATGAAGAGTAGCTTGTGATCATGTCTAGATAGTGGTGTAGCGTGTAATTGCGATTTGGTTGTCCAGCACAAGTCCGACTATGCGTGTAGAGGTGGCTGTCAACGGAAGCAGAGGAACTATATGCTTATAGTCGCTTAATAACGTATAGTTGTACAGGTATCAAGTCATGTGTATATGAACGATTCAATAGCGAGCCAAAAAGATATGTTGAATCGCTTGCAGGGTTTGCCTGAATTTCATATATTTCGGACGTAGATTGTAGAGCCATGTATTCATCATCCATTCGATGAGAGAGACTACTGATTGTAGATGCACTAGAACAGCATTCGATCCTTTTGATATGAACGTTTGGATGAATTAACGGGTACTAAATGCCACCACAAACATCTTCGACATACACACTAAGAATAACAGTGCCGCGATAGTAATAACTGTGGAAGAAAATTACCATATAGGACACTCTAAATGGGTTTCCCACGAGACAGGTGGTGATTGTATCGGGCCATCGTATTCAGATGAAACCAATCTTACTTTAAACGAGAACTGTCATTGGCGAAGTTCATACCAACTGTCCATTGAATAACTGTTGTTGGTACTTTTATTTTCAGGAGGCAGTTCGTAATCAGATAAAACCAATTCTTACTCAATACGAGAACAGTCATCGGCGAAGTTCAGGCCAACTGTCTATTGAATAACTGCTGTTGTCACTTTTGTTCTCAGGAGGCAGTATGTACATGTATTCACGCATGCTTGACCGGAAACATAGATAAAGATCAGCAGATGTATTGCGAGAACCCTTGCTTCGTGCATGATCTCTTCTCCGTATCAGTCGAGGAAAAGGTGTGTAGCTGATTTGATCGGTAGTTGGTTCTTTAAGATGAACACATTTTGAGCTATCATCATCGTCTTCAATGAACGGCAGACATGTACGCGCACACAAATACTGGTTGTATGGCAGATATGGTATCGAGGTTTACATATGACTATTGATCTCGCGTTTTCGTCTGTGAGCCCATTTCGAGGTATCGCAAGCTGCTATTTTCCTAAGTACTTCAACTACATATCAAGTTTGAGTCCTGTTTTTGCAATCGTGCGAGTTGTTAATTATCATTTTTTTCATACATTTTCTTTTCATTATGGCCAGCGGAAGTGTAAGTGCGGTGGCACAAAGACATCCAGCAAGTATGAGAAATTAGTGAACTACATATCAACAACAGCCCTCGTACAAGTGGCCAAGGGGTAAGCATGTTGGAAGCATTTAGTACGTATGAAATGACGAGTAGTTGAGAAAGTGCTAGTAGAACTAGTTAAAATAATATGAAGGAATAGGTATGTGTGATCATTTACTCGGGTATGAAGGGGAAACCCATAATGGATGGAATGGATGTGATTGTATGTAGCGAGAAGGGGGGTGGCATTTGCAGGGCAAGCTTCGGTATAAAATCACCGATCATAAATGGCGGAATATTGTCTGTGTGAGTGAATATGGCGTTATCAGTGGATGAGAACCTCTGACGAGATGAGTGATACGAAGGATATGTGTGTATGAAGGGATGCTCCTGTATTACAGGATGGGTATCTACATAGAGGTTCTTTGGTGTGATCGGAAAGTAGTGCATCGAAACGTGCCACAATTCAAGCAGTGTTGGGAGCGCCTCTAGCAAGTACACGTATTTCGATTGTCTTGTACCAATAGTGTGGAAGAGCGTGTAAGTGCCCTTCTGAAGTTTTTATCCATCTTCGTGCGACTTTTAATCTGCGCTTGGGAGTTTTTTGACAGAGTTGCAAGTGGTGCACATTAGTGTTCGATATAACTTATCAGCTTGGTATTATAGTAGTTGGCGTGCACCGCCCTTGTTTAGGCTCAGCACTTATTTCTTTTCTACAGAGTTAGAGCAAATGGTGTTGCGAATCCATCAGACATGAACAGATTGGCAGAACAATCGAAAGCATTCTCATCCAACCGATTCTCGGCGATTACAATGGACGGTGTGTTTGTGCCTTTGTTCAAGTTGTGTTGAGCTGTTAGTTGCCTGTTCATTTCTGATCTGATTTATTACGTCACAAGTCCTGATGAGATGCGCCTTTACGACAGATATGTGTACTCACGAGCAAGCTAAACTGTACCCAATGAACAAGAGATAACGTATCGAGTGTAACAGTATATGCGTGATTTGCTGTGCACATACTGAAATTTGAGGACCGTGCTGTGAATTGCTTCGCTTCCCGAATATGCTATTGCCCACTTTCTATTCCACTCCAATTTTCAACAGATATCATCCCTATGGATCAGATAGATTATGCTATTGACCACTTTTCATTATACTCCAATTCTCAACAGATATTATCCCTATGGATCAGATAGTGTCGGCCCTCGTCACCCCAGACCCAGTCAAATGCGACAAGGTGAGTGTTTCATTGGCTCGAAAGTTTGATCACGCGCCAGTGATAGCTATTGTAGACGTGTAACTGGGTCATTAATGCTTTAGTCCCACGGTTCTATCGCGCTCTCAATGTGACACGCCTTCTTCTAGAACATAGCCGTGATTTCCAGTCAGTTTGCGCTTCGACTTGAGATGACGAGCGCCTATAATTTTTATTGCGCAAGCAAGTATGTATCTATTGTATGTTGCAAATTTGAAACTCAGAACTTGATAAGCGGCACTACTATCGACTCATTATATCATATCGTATCCTGGCCATTCACTTTGGATTTCCTAACAGTGCAGCTTACAAGTGCCGGCCCAACTATATCAAATAGGCACCGTCCCCACATGTGGTATGGCTGCCTCGCTTCCTGCACATGACAGTGTTGTAGTTGTATATGTTGTTTTATACTAGAATTATAACTAACGTACTTTGTGGCCAGTCATGATTCCGCCCATTCTGTGTTGTTCATCACCAACATGAAACTCAGAGTCGCAGGTCCAACAGATTGGAGAAAGCTGGCTTATCGGATCAAATGATACATGCCATTTTATCGGTTTTTCTATCTGTAGCATGTAGTCACTAAATCCCCTCGTTTCGATATTGATACAGTGGTGTTCGGCCTCATATGGGAGCGCAATATCGACTATCACGACATCACACGAGTGCTTGAGCAGGTGCAACCCATCATTGATCTCAATAAGGTGTGTCTGTCCGAGTGTTATCTCCGGACTTCACCAGGGATGCACTGAATAGGTAGTTTCTCTGTCAATGCTCATAAGATTTCAGAATGCCGTCAAGGGTTTCGGAGCAGTCTGCAGGGTTCGGATGATATCGGGTGTAAATCTAGGCAACATTTCTGGCGGCCACAAGAATGCGTGGGCCGTTTGATTCTTTAGCTAAATTCACGTGATCTAGAAACGCTCCGCATAATTATTTTCCAACAAGCAACTGTACACAGAGGCATTAAAACGCATACCTTATACGCACGGACCCAACCTCCCACAATGCACAGCTATACGGTCACGAACAAGGCAGGCATGGCAGTACTCCGATGTTATGCCATGCTATGGTGTGCTACTACGGCCAACACTACGTCAGGTATGTGCCCCGTGAACTGTTGAGTTTCAAGGTGATACAGATTCTCTACGGTGGCCTGACTACTTTGTTACCATTTAAGCCATACATAATAGTTTACAGTGGTTTGGAAGCACGATTTGCCTCAGGTGCTCGATGTGTATTTCTTCCTCAAATTGCGACGTGGGGTTGCATGTACCACCGCAATGTATTCAATATGCACAGAGTTCGTAGCATTGGGTTTGTCAAGTGCATCCTGATTGATGCATACCAATACACCGATGAAGTCACAGGCTTGTCAAACCCAGTTGGTAGACGAGTTCACGGTTATTATAGCGCAGATTACACTATTGCAAAGTGTATCTGGGCGTCTGGACCATTTTCAACATACTACTGTGTGACGGAGACGGGGGGATAGTTGTTTGTAAATGTTGTGTACATCACCGATAAAGAGACGATTCAGATATTCCCGCCTGCGTTAAGACGTGCCATCCCGTACAACCACATAGATACAAGTATCCGTATTTCGTTGCCACAGTTACTTCTACAGTACAAGCGAGTCCAAGTGGTTCCAAGTGGATGATGTGCGTATCCGGGAAGTCGGCCCTTCATGGTCATACCTGCTAAGGGACTGTACGAAGGGCAAGTTCCAACCTGTGCTCACATTCTATCAGACATGCAGCAGGTAAGTAGGTTCTACAAATACATGTTGACCCCCGCTGATGTACACAAGAAAGTGCACATGCATACACATGTGTGGGCTCTTGTGCATGCGTGGGTGTAACGTACCTTTTTGGTCACATTCAAACCAGGCATCTACAGGATGTTTGAAAATAGCGGACAAGTATAGTGACTCCTTCAATTCCCGAAACAATGCGACTGTACCTGCGCGGAAGAGAACCTGGCGAAGTTTAGTCTTCATACTTGGTCACTAGAAGTTTTGATCAATACAGCCTAAATGCGATAGCAACCAATGCCCTTGTTAGCCGCAGATTACGCCCATGGCTGTATAGCCGACTGTTCTGAGAATCGGCTCACATAAGGCTACATCGTGTTTCTATCTGTAGCACCGAATTACACTACCGAAGACATCACATGTGTATGCCACTACAACTAAGATTGTATCGGTGTATGCTAATTGAGAGAGGATCTTACCACATCCGCATCTTTCAACCATCCTCAGTGAGGATGCAAAACAAGCAGGGGTCGAGTACATGGCTGATATGGAAAATTACTTTCAATGGAAGGCGGATGAAGCCGTGTTCGAGGAGTCGAGGGCGATCGCACCCGTACAAGACTTGCCAAGCGCTGTGGAAATGTCACAGCCCACTGTATGTATCGTCGTACGTAGGTGGCTGTGTTGTTGTCATGGGGAGTTGATGTTGTGTCCGTATACCGTGTTAGGTCGTTATCCGGCCTACTACTGTCTTGCATTATGTTGAGTTTCGCGTGTCATTTTTCTGCGTGTGGTCGTCGTTTTATAATCGTGTCAGCCATAACAGCCCTCTGCTATGATTTGTATGGCGTACAATAAGTTTGATCATAGTGCATGTGCCACCGTGTCTCCATGTGGCGCGTGTTTTCTTAGGTGCGCTTTCAGCATTTAAACATCGTGGTGTATAAGTGGAACGCGCATGTTGTCAAACGCTTCACAACTGTAGTGCTACATAACTGTCGAATCTGTCGTGAAGCGGAAGCAGCTCAAGATTCACCAAGCATCGTGTGAGTTCTGATCATCTGTATGTGCAATACACAACAGGATGCCAACATCACCGACCAACTGCAAATAGAGGCCGAAATGGCCGCGAGGGAGCTCATGGAAATGCAGGACCTGGCACTGGCACTGGATATGCAAGAGAGAGAGGAGACCCAATCAAATCCCCTTCCTACACAACGACGGAGTACTACTGACAGCACCATAGTGTACTCTGGGACTCTCTTGGTCCACGCAAAGAGTGGGTTGATTAAACGCGATTGGAGGCGGCGGACTGTGAGTCTCCAAGACGGAAATCTCGCCATCATCAAACCCGGGCAGGTGTGTGTACTGGGTATTGTGTGCTGTACGTATATAATCTTGTTTATTTATGCATGTAGTATGGCTTGGCATACACACACACACACACTCACACACACACACACACACACACACACATATATATATATACATACATACATACATACATACATACATACATACATACATATATATATATATATATATATATATATATATATATATATATATATAGAGTAGAGTAGTATAG